TTAGGTTTTGAAATGAATGGGCCAGTTAAAAAGCCTTAAAAAATAAATTAAAAATTCCCAGGATAACCATGTCGTTCGAGTGAAAGATGGGTGACTGCGAGCGATAGTTTGTCGCTCGAGTGAAGCCCGACGATAGGTTGGTGACAGTGTTACTGTTTCTGACACTTGAGCCAAATCATGGTGACAGTCAGCGAAATCGCGACGCTATTTTTCCTTCTTTTCCGTTCTCGAACCCTAGACCTAATACAACTCAATTTCTACGTAAACAATCAAACACATTTAATTAATAATTTCTATGTAAATAAGTTTTAGGCGATTGAATTGCCTTAATTTTTTTTTTTTACGTAAATTTCATTTTCGCAATCAAACACACCCTTATTTATTTATCAAATGTGTAACACAAAAAACTTTTCCAGTGGAGGTGATATATCAACTCATTACTTTGGTGTACAATGTTAAACTACCTACATAAACACACTTAAATCGTTGGTTAATTATTTCTATTTTTTCCTTTAACAATTATTTTTGATAAATGAAATGCCCATCCCCGTGTTCGACGTCTTTTTAGTAATAATAAACACTCATTTTATTTTTACAAGTCTTACATCTGTAGGGATGTCAACAAGAGTGAGTTGGTCCACAGTAATCCACCATTTAAATTTAATTTAAAATCGTTGAAAATTTCAATTATCAGGACTGGAGATGAGGAGGGTCGTCTTGTTGTCATCCTAAAGTGCATATTTTGAGGTGGTTGAAAATGAATTTGTCAAACGGGGACTAAAAGTTGCATAGCTATCGACTATTGGAATAATTTGCTTTTGTCAGTACAAGTCAAGCCAAAGAGCCTCTTGAAAACGAGTCAATCTTCGCATGCACATTTATCTTCATAAATCTAAAATATGAATTAATCTAGGCTTGCGGCCGAGAATGCAAATTATTTGGTGAATTTTCGGGATTTTCATCAGCAACATCACTTACTTTTCTTGAAATTCTGTTTCTGTGATGTCCCAACTTGTTCAAAACCACCATTATCGCAATCCAAATCCCATTATATTGAGAATTCTCATATCTGTCTTTCGCCCGAAAATAGTAGATTAAAAGTGATGTTGATGATGTGACTCCTGTAATTATAAATAGCACAAAAAAGTTCTGAGGGCTAAGACTTGCACTTTCATTATCTGATTGAATATCTACACATTGCTCAGAAGCTATTAAGCGCTGCTCCAAATCTTTCAGCACCCCATTTTCACGAACGTTCAGTAATGCTTCATCTATGTCAGGGAGTAAAAGGGATCCCTTTGGAAATGCCTGAGATGATGAAATTAATAGAAAATAATGTCAACAGTTTCATCTAGTAAAATCACTGACCCCTCTCTATCCGTTTAAGATGGTGCTTACCCAAAATTGTGCACGTGTCAGATTATCGATAAAAAATAAAATTGACCTACATGTGAAAGTTTGTGTACCCTTTTCAGTGGCTTAAAGTTTTAGACAAGGGGTTCATAAGAGAAAGATAAATTACAAATCCATATCCTCCAACTTGGTATGTAGGACCAGCAATGATGAAGCTCTTGCAATATTTGGCGACAAAAAGTTTAGCCACAGGAGCTTCAAGAAAGGCTGCTGCAATAGCACCACTTCTGAGAGCCCGTGCATACTCATCTGTTGACGTGAAATTCCTAATGTTGCTTGATTTAAAGCCTAAAGGACCCTCCAAATATCCCCTAACGAAAGACTTCCGCGAGTAGCCAATCACTGCTTTATTGGTCTTTAGAGTCTCAATATTTGCTATTTTTGGTTTAAGATTTTGCACTGTTAGCATGCTTGAAAAGCTGGCTGTATAGCTTTGTGTGATGATCAGAGCCACAAAAAGCCATATCACTGTCGCCGTACGTGACAAATTGCTATGTAATTTCTCCCCTGTCGAAAAATTAAGCCACAAAAAATCAACAAAATTTCATTTGAAAACTAGTGTGATCATCTTTTTGTCTACGTTACCGTGAAATGAGAACAGTGTTGCAAAAGCCAACCAAAGTAGAGTGCCTATTTGGTTCAGAACTGGTCCTCTTAGTTCAGAGCAGTAATTTTTCTCAATAATCCATACGACGAATCCATTGAAGACATTAATGAAAAATGTGAGAAACCACGTGGCTTTTGTGAAGGGCTTCACAAACAGCCAAGCTCTGCTTGAATGCCTTAGAATTGGCACTACCATTACTAGTCCTGTCTCAGTATGAGAGTGCGTGAATTCTACATATTCACATCGATTTGATATTATGGCGATGTCACCAACTGCTACATCAAATTCCTGCTCAAACAATCGAGACTTGTGTCAGTATATAACCGGAATGAACTATCACTAGGAGAATATAGAATATCCTACCTTTGATTGAACTTTCTTTACCAAATCAGTATAGGTTCCTCCAAAAGGAATGAATTCATATTCTAGAGAGTACTTCAAATGCTTTGCGGTTTCATCGAACACATCCACGGAAAATCCTGAAAAAGTGTACTTACCGGTAGAAGAATCATAATCTACTTACACAAATTTGTTTGTAATGGATCCATTGGGAACTCC